ACAAATCCGACGTTTCGGCGACATCTTGGCAATGGCGCCAAGATGTCGCCGAAACGTCGGATTTGTCTATCGTTAGTTTTTGCCTGTATAAATTTGTCAAGTGACTCTTAATTAATAAGTAGGTTTTAATACACAATTTCAGAAGTAACAGAAAATTTCAAACTTTTACTTGCTATAAAAGTTTAGAACACTTGGTGATAAATCATGAAACATTTTGACAACAAAAACAGCTTTAAATTTTAGCGGACCATACAGTAGAATACATCCCGCTAAATTGACCAATCAGAGCACACGTACTAACTGAGAGATATAATAATGGTTGTTAATTTCCCTCTCTTCTGTCAATATAAGGGCTGTAAAGCAGCTCAAAACCAGTAATGCACAACAACTGGAGATTGAAACCAAGAAAATGGAGGACAGGATACGAGCTTTGAAGGAGCAAATGTTCAAGGAAAAAGAAGAGAGAGAGTAAGTTTGATTCATTTTGTAATAAAGTCGACCTTGTTAATTTGAGCTTGGTAATGTCAAATCTCCCTTCCATGTCCAATATTTTCTTAGACCCAGATACCATCCAAATGATCCTGTGCAGTTTTCTTTTAGTATTATGACATACTTTGCTGAAGGAATTACCACTTAAAGATGCTCTTTTTTTTTCTTTTCTTTGAACTTTCTTTTCCTCTCCAGTGCGTAAAGAAAGTCCTCTCCAATAGTCCAGGACCAGAGGATTTTTTTAGTCAGGCTAGTGGATTCTGTCTGTCTCTTGCCTGATTGGCAAGTGAAGTTTCTTGGGAAATTGTTTTCAAGAAATTCAAATTAGAGATTGAAGTACTGCAAGACATGAACCCTTTGAGGGTTACTAAGAATGATATTTGGGCTAATACATCATAGTAAGACCTTGCCTAAAGGGCAATGCCCAAAAATTATTTTTCTTTGCACCTTGTTTTGTTGTTTTGGAAGCGTCAGTCGTGAGTAAATACAAAGCCGGTTCTCAATCATAGTGGCATGCTATCCCTTGAAGTTTACTTGTCGTTTTAGCCATTGATGGTGATAATATTTTGTTGCAATTTCCAGGCTTGTAATAATAGCTCGCTCAGGACTGTGCTGGCACATATTGGTCTCTAGTCTTTTAGTACAGACCTTGCTGTGTTCTATCTGGACAAAAAGACTAAAGGCTGACATTCCATCAGTATAGCCCTTGAGCTTGATAAATAAGATATGCTTGGCACATATGGTGTGTTTGTTGTATAATTTGCAAATGTGTACTGCAATATTGTTTTTTTTTTGTTTTTGTTTTTTTATTTTTATAGAAAGCAAGGGGGAACAAGGTGGGTATCAGGGAAGTCTGGCCCACTGAACACCCATGCTCAGGATGTGCTAAAAAAGAAGAGTACAAAAACTGATAAGGTAGGTTGAGCCATCAGTCAAGAGGAAAACTATCTTGAAAAAGGGATAGCAGGGCTTGACACTAACAGTAGCCAATTAGCCACAGACTAGTAGAAATGTAGTTTTGGCCAGTAGGTTTTCGATTTCCACTAGCCACTTTGGCTAGTACACAGAATGAAATTGGCTGAACTAGTTTCTCTCTTCCTCAGGGAAGACAAACACAAACAGTTTTCTTGGAAACAAGGTCAGAATTTCATTGTGGACATATAATGTTACTGGGCACGTGCAGTCCTGCACACATGCAAATTTTTGTTTGTCTACTTTTCGCTGTGTGATATGTAAACGGGTAGCCAAACATGTTATTATGTTGCAAGAAATGTCTGACAAACAAGACAGCCTTTTCTGATAGCACACAATAAGATAATGCTAATACTGCATTTCAAATCAGCTTTTTGCAAGTTTTGATAATGAGAGAAATAAAAGAGATTTTTACTCAATGTGTATAGTGATTGAATAAGATTCATAGGAAGGGAGGGGTGTTGTCCTACTTTTTTTGCTAAGTTTGCTGCATGAAAAGTTATTGAAAGAATGCATTTTTCCTGCATATTTGTTCTTTAATCACAAAGTTGTAAATGGGCTTTTTTTCAATGAGGGCCTGTGTGTTTTGTTTGATACTTATACCTAATCTTCCCTCTTTACACTTTGGCGGCATATCAGGCCAGTTTGTTCAAGCCATGGTTTATATTTTGGTGAGATGTAGTTGAGCCAAAATACCCCCTAGCGAGACCAAACAAGCCTGGTATGCTGCTGACGCAAACCAAAAAGGTACCATTAGGTATTTACAGTACCCAAATTTGGCCAAGTGAGCATGATATCGCACCCATATCAGGTCAGTGACTTGATATCACAGGATATCAGGACAGCAGACACGGCTTCTGATTGGCTAATTGCAACTTTGGGTACGGTTAATGTAGTTATGGTCTGACAATATTGCATTGTCTTGTTTTGTTTATTTACAGGCTCCAAGGAAAATAAAGATTCTTGGAGATGAACCTTTACGTGAGTATATAATGTGTGTGATGTATTTTTTTAGTAAAATCATTCATAGCAGCTTCCTGTGGGTCCATCGGAAAGCCTCGTTAGTTCTGAGATCTAAGAGGCAAAAAGTTTCGAAAAGGAGTTGAGGGCATTTATGAATTTAGCCCATTCCAGACTACATGTATGTTTCCATGTGAACAAAGACTTACATGTAAAGAAAACAAATTGAAGATAGACCATGAATTAAACTATAGGCATTTCTGACTTTGTTTATTGTTGGTGAACTATCTCAACTTTTCTGTAAGTTTTTGGTCTCACCAAGAACAGCTGCCTACGCTTTTACCCAAAATTTGTGACATATACAACTGTTTGGAAGCAATGTCAGCCATAATTATCTGGGACATTTCCATCAACATAAAAAAAATTTAGGTAATGGGAAATGCTTACAACATGGATTGTCTTGATTTCAGAATCTTACAAGAAGAAAGCAACACCAAGGGCTGAGCAAACGGATAACACTGGTGCTTCAGGGTGTGGTCAGTGCGAGAGGGTGAAAGCAACTTTGGTAAAATATTGTACTTTATTTCCTTGCCCCAGTATTGATATCTGAGTTGTGTCAATGCTGTTTGACAAGCTCGTTTGGAAACTAAATCAAGAGTGCTAAGTATAGCAAGTCTCAGATTTTCTTTTGGCTTACTTATTAACTGTGCCAGGCTTAGTTCAAACACTGTACCACTCATGTATGCAGCTACAACTAAGGCATGTTGCA